TCAATTTCTGAAGGACTGTAATATTTGTAACAAGGCATCCAAAGCTAGTGTAAAGTGTGTAATTACAACTCTGTCTCTTTATTTTTCTTCCATCCTTTATCCCTTTCTCTTTCTCTTTCTTTGTTTCCTCTCTCCCTTTTTCTGTCTTGTAAAGTGGAATGGCTTTTATGGATATACTGAATCCAAAAAAGAAAGGGGATACTTAATAGCCTTGGCTTGAATTTTTTAATATGGATATTAACTGTATCTAAAACCATTAATCATTTTAATACTAAAGAAGGCAAACAACATAAAATCTACATGAAGAGGATATGCAGAAGAAAAATGAGTACAATAATAAATTAACTGCAAATATTGATAACCTTAATGATTACTAAAAACAGAGGAAAATAGGATGAATTTGAGTGATTATGTTATAAAGCCCCTGATGCAATTATCTTCTTTCCTTTAGCTTTAAGGTTACATTTTTCTTTTTCATCCCTTAGACTTATCCTGGTTTTTAAATATGGAAACAGCAAGAGACTGAGTCCAGGATGACTAGAATAAGCATTTTCTCCTATGTCCACTAGATGGCAGGTGTAGGATTCTGAATACCTTTCAGAAGCTATGCGGTAGCTGTTCTTATTTACAGCACTAGATGACAAAACCTACTGGAGTTCAAAGTAGAAAATTTTAGAAAGGAGTCTCTCTCTTTCTTCCCCTCATTCTCCTACATACAGCCTTGAAAAAAAAAAAAGAGAACAGGTAAAACTGGTAAAGGAGTATAAGGTTTCTAATAAAGCTTTCAGTTGCCGTCTACAATTGCAGAGTAAAACAACAGCCCTCTTGTGTATATTTTCTTTATTGAAAAATGTAAAACTAAAACCTAGCAACAAATCTTTACATAACTAGCCAAGAATTTTTTTGTAGAACATTAAAATTTTTTCTTTCCCCTTTGGTCCCACACACTCTGAAGTGGTACACTGTCTCTGTATAATCTCAATCCTTTTATTTTCTTAAAGTGGGAAGGTCCTGGGGATCCCTGTTATATAAGTGGCAGTTGGAGATTACACTATAACTTGGAGATTAATTTCCTATTTCTTTTCTTTATGATAGGAGACAGTAAAGCAGTAGGGAAATCTAAAAAGATTCTTTTTCTTTCTTGCTCCACAGTTTTTATTACATCCCCCCGCCCTTGATTTGAAATGAGGTTGAAATAACTGAATTTTCTGGTTTGAACACATGTGTCTTTTCATTGAGGGGCCAAAGCTTTGGAAATGTAAAGGGTCAATCTTTGTACAGAGGGGTTCATTGCAGAGAAGGGTGTGTTCTGCAAAGACAAACAGGTCTCACTGATAGTTGCCAAGGGCACCAAATACATCTTTGCATTACACCTTGACTGAGCATGCTCATATCACCTCTTTTTTATTGCATGCATCATAAATGACTGTAAAAGTTTGCAAATCCTGCAGAGACCTTGACAATTAATACTTTAGCAGGAAACCTACAAAGAGAAGGGGTGGGGAGGAGAGAGCCAGTCTAGCAGTTTGCTTTTTTGGCATAGGAACCTTACATTGACATTGAAAATTATTGAATATTCGCTGTTCACAACCTTAGCCAGATGAATAACATATACATACAAAGCAGTTTCAATTTAGATGCTCACTCTAAAATCTTGGCTTTACATTTATATGACCAGGTTATATAGTTTGGTGACATTCCTGTGATCTTACCCACATGGACTTTCTCTGGGTGCTCCTGATCTGTCCCTTGAGCATGTGTTAGTTTATGGCCAAGCAGGGTACCTAGTCCTGGAGGCCATGCCTGTGGCTTTTCGAAAGTGTTTATAAGCACCTGTCTCCCCAGAAGAGCCAGGCAAGAGTCTGGACGTTGTTTTTTAGGATCTACAGGGTGTTGGTGCTGGAGGGACACTAGTTGATCCCTCTTTCTTATTCTATCTGACTGTTCTACTGATTTGTTTGACCACGTTAAATTCGGTGCATTAAAGGTGGGTGTCCCTTGTGACAAGTCCGACAAATCCGACAAAGCGAGTAGCAGACGGGATACTAAAGCCGGGGTTGAGGGGCAGACTTCGCTGGAGGCCCTGCGCAGGGTCGGAGAAGATGCAGTGGCTGGGTGTCCCCCTTCCCAGAGGCTGGAGCCTGCAACTTAATAGCTTGGCAATGTGTCGCCGCTTTAGGCTGCGCTAGGGACCAAAAAGACTGTGCTGTACCTTAAAGAGACAGGGTAGTGATCGGCGGCAATAGAAAAAGACCCCTGCATCCCGGGCCTGGTAGTCTTCAGGTGCTTCTCGCCTCCACTCCAGCCCCACCACGCCGGCTAAGCCCTTCCCCACTCGTAGTCCCGGTGACCGGAATCCCAGCCTTTCCTTCTGATGCATAAAACATTCAGTGGCCTCCAGGGAGTTTTTGCAATTCTGGCAGAGGCTGTTTTATCCATTGTTTTGCCCCCTGGGTCAAACACAGGCCCAACGGTTGGTTGAGTTGGGGACGCACTAAGAGCAGCTCTAGACTAAGGTCCCCGCGGCCTTTTCCCACCAGAGGTCCTTTACAAACAAGTGGCTTGGAAGGAGTCACTGGGCTTTACCCAAACCCCAAAAGGACCGGCAGGTAGAGAACTGTACGAGTTTTTTCTTTCCTTTTTCTTTCCTGAACGTGAGGGTGGGCGGTAGTCCCCAGGAATTGCGCCAGCGCCCAGTCGTGGCTGGATCCACTGTGAGTGTGCCACATCCACAGCGATGCCGAGGATCCCGGGCTCAACGAGCTCAGCAAAGGTGCAGCGAGGCAGCAGGAAGAGGGCACTTCCCGTTCGCATCTCGTGTTGGTTTTTCTGTCCAGGGCAACTCGGAAGTAGGGTCTCTGGATGCTTGTATTGCTGAGACCTTTTCCCTCCGGGTCCCTAGCGCCTGCCCATGCCTGCCCTACCTGAGCGCTCTGCCCCCGGGGCCACGGCTTTTAATTAATAGTATCAGAACAGCTTGGGGGAGGGAACCCAACGTTCTCATCTAGACCTGGTTGAGCTAAGAAGGCGAAAAAATGGTGTCAAAAAGATGATCAAAGTGGAAAGGAAAAGCATAGGCTAAGTATGACATTTAACAGGAAAGTGAAGTAAAGGGCTTTTTGACTCCGAATTTTATGTTAAAAGATCAAATGTGACATAAATACATATGCGTGTAATTTCCCCCTAAGCACTAACTATTGAAAAATAACTTAGCACCTGAGGACTTTTCACTAAAAGTCTATCCTAATTTCTTTTCTTCTCGCCGCGCCTCCCTCAGCCCCTATGCATCAGGGGCAGCTCTCCGCCGTACAGTACTTTTTTTTCCCCTCCCCATTTTCGCTTCATAAACCCATGCCATGAGAAATCCTAATAAATTAGTTTCAGGAAGAATATAAGTGATGCTCTATAAAGCTTGATCAACTGGCATTGGTTGATCTAGTAAAAATTGCCAAGCCCCGGAGCCCAGCCATTTCCTCTTAATGCCGCTTATTTGCTTATTTAGTCAGTCATCTGAAACTACTCCTTTCGTGCCGAGAACGCGGGAGGATTGGCGCTCTTCCATAAACTCTTAGAGAGTTTTCTACATTGGACAAACGCAATGCTTCTCTTAGATAATAACCAAGCCTTACCAGAATGGACTGCTATCATTAGTCAAAATCCTTTTGGTGCTAAAATTCTCCCGCTAAGCTTCTACATATAGTGTCAAAATAATTTTAACACAGAACATGTGATAATTATTTCCTCGTAGAGCAGCGAATTCAACACACAGAGATGTTGAGCTGATTATTGAAATCCACTGACATTGAGACATCATAGTGAAATACACTATTGAACTAAAATATTGTTTCTTTGGTGGAAACAAATGTCCGGTGGCATTAAGCTGCGGTGAATGGGGGATGGAGAATTTCTGTCTTCAGACTTTCAGCATTTTATGGGAACTAGATACTTAACTTTTTGGCATATAATAAGACAGCCTCCACTATCTACGTATCTGGGAATATTTTTAAAGAGACTGTGCACAGGTGTTGTATAAACAACACACCCGTGAAAGATTTGCATAACAAACAGGACCTGTTCATTGTTACTTTTCCTCCTCCGCTTTCTCTGGCTGTTTTCCGATGGACAGAGGTCACTTTCCTGACACGGTTTGCAGAGAAGGTGAGCAACAAGGGCCCAAAGAATGTGTTTTGATCACGAAGTTCAATGTAAAGAAAATAGTGTATGATTTCTCTGCTTTGTTCTGATTTCTAAAACAGCCTACTGGTTGTTTTTAAAAGAGTCTTTCAGCAAGAAATTCAGAATGAGGAAACTAAGTTTAGTAAACTCGATCTAAAAGGAAAAAGAAAAAAAAATACCTAGCTCTTTGATGTGTCTGGCATTGTTATCACAGTCTTAAAATAACTGCCAACCCCCTGGTCAGAAAAGAAAAACCTAGAGGATTAAGTAACTGTTTATCTATGAGGATAATAACTTGTTTGACCTCAAGTCATTCATTCCTGAAACCACGAAGTTAAATTGTTGAGATGTTTTTAAATGCCACAGTTTCTGTCTATATTGCTTGGTTAACAAAAGCCTGATCCAGGTGGCCAGCGCCTCTCGATGGGTCTGAGCATCATTTCTCCAAGAGTAAAGCTTGGGAAGGTGCCTACAGTAGAGGAGTGAGATAGGAAGCTTCCCATCAGTGTGGTGTAAAGAGATGGTAAATGACCCAAGCTACAGGTGGCTGCGTTGGCCCGGGACTTGGAACTCTTCTTCCTCTTCCCTCTCTCCCAAGCGACGGGCAGCAGCGAAGCCCAGCGCCTTAGGTGCAGTTTCAGGAAATGGTTGCAGGTTCCCCTAATGCTGTGGCTGCAGAGCTGTCCGTAGGAACCTGTTAAATTCCCTTTAATAACACTTCCGGCCCTTTCCCGGACCTCATTGGCTCGGAATTATATCTGCATTCTGAGGTCCCCAGCCACCGCGCACTGCCCCAGGGTTGACACCACCCGAGCCTAGGTGCTGCCTGGGCACGGGTCGGAGTCTCGGGGATGGCTCTGGGCCTTGGCCGTGGGCAGTACCTGGCTGGGCTCCCCGGTGCAGAAGGCGGGGGAGCTTTAACTCCAGCCCCAAATGGTCAAGCCGCGGGCGCCTCGCCCTGGGGGGAGACAGCAGACATGTGCAGGTGGCGCTTGTGGCCCATCGGCCTCTGGAGGCTGGAGAGCCGACACGGTTAGCGGAGGCCAGGGTTGGGATGAGCCGGCCCTCCCGAGGGTCGCCGGGCCTTGGGAACAGGGAAATGAGTGGCCTCGCAGCTCTCAGTTCTCACCGAGGCTGCTGGTTACTGTTTAACATCCCCACCCACGTTTCAGTTTGTTCAGTAAATCGATCGGACTCTGAGAGTCAGGCCGCTGTCTTGTCGCCATCCAGCAAAGCTAATATCCTCCCAGCATATGGTCTAAAGTCTCTGCTAGAGATCGGGAACAACAAACAAACAAACAAACAAACAACCACATCCTTGAGCCTCCTCTCCCCAACACGCAGCCCCTCCCTCACCCTCCACCTTTGCGCCTTCGGCCAACTTCCCAGGCTCTGCAAAGTGCAGCCCCGGACACGGGCTGTTGGGGTGGGTGGGGGACCTACGGCTGGGAGATGCAGCGGCCAGTGTGCAGCTGACTGCGACGCGGGAGTTCCGGAGCTGCTCCGTGCCGGTAAGTGTCGCCAGCGAAGCCCTCCGAGAGTCTTCTAGCCCCTCAGGCGGCGGGAGGTGGGGTGCCGCTCAGGAGGGGCTGAGCCCAGGGTCCCTAGGCCTGTCAGGTTGAAAGCAGATGCCCCGAGGCCTCCCGCAGCCCGCAGAGCTCCAAAAAGAAAGGGCTGGAGGAGAAGCAGTGGGGCCCTCAAGGTCCACTCCGCACGACAAGTGAAAGGAAAGTTGGATTTGTTTGGAGAGAAAACTTTGATGTCTGACAGCGGGTCACGTGGCTGCCAGGTCTCTGGGGGCTTTGGTGGAGTTTTTGTGGCTTGGGGCAAGGCTAGGGCATCTGGATGCCTGGGGACAGTAGAGGTTTGTGAGGAGGGTCCTGGAGCATCACCTCAAGACCTTGGCACCAGTCTCAGCTTCCATATGTTCTCGCAGACATTTTGAGAGTGGGCTTCTTCCTGTGAGGATGCTGGGGAGATTACAGGAAAAAATGTGTGTGTGTGCACATATTTACCTACATACACATAAACATATATTTACCTACATATATACATAAATATATATTTACCTACATGTATATGTGTGTATATATGTATACTTGTCTATAGGTAGATAGATGATGGATAGATTTAACTATTTGAACCATTTAGCTTCCTTTAGGAAGAAATGTCCCTTGCAAGCTTGTTTAAAAGGTGTGCTAGTTAAGCAATCATCGTTCCATCTCTAACAGGATAAGCTAGCAGTGATAGACCTTTGAATTGAATGTATAAGTGCTTCATACCTGGTGCATTGTGCTTTTATATCTTGCTCAAAACCATCAAAGGCACCTGTCCAATATGCAGACAGTCTCCAGTCAGCTTTCAGATGAGGGCTAGGGCCACAGGGTACAGAGTACTGATGCTCTCGACTTCCTGGGAGGCCCTGCAAATTAAATACCTGCCTCACTGATAGAAACATTCCTGTTTTGGTTTTGTTACTTCACCCCAGTTTTCCACTCATTTTACTTGTTTTTTCTCTTCCTGTACAAGAATTTATTTATCATTAAAACATTCTTCCTCTCCATCTATCACCATTTTTCTGCAATAATACTGCAGTCCCCAATTTCCCACCACACCTCCTCCATTTTTCTATCTGTGCATCCACTATTAGTGTTTTTATTGTGCCTTTGAAGTCAGAAGCCAAGTGTGGGCTGGGCCCCTCTCTGGTACCATTTGGGGGAGGGAGTGGAAGAGAGAGAGTTGGCCAGTAGTATTAACTACTCACTTTTCACTTTTCAAGGTAGAGGGGGAATTAAGAGCTTTTGGTTCTCTTCTTCCATCCTTACTAAGGTCCATTTATAGACCTACTAATATGGAATTTTCCCAACATGCTTTATGAAGGTAGTGCAACCCTTTCACTAAAGTGTGTCTGTTAACATTTCACAAGCATTTTATTCTACAATTGCGATGATAAGAATGTAAGACAACACAAATTAACTTTGGAAATTACTAAGACTTTTCTTAATACCTGCATGTAAATAATAGCTTTATTTTTGAGTTCTATGTTTCTTTTAAAAGTTCTTGTTATTTATATGAATTTTGAAAGGACTGCTGGCTTATAAAGCAGCATGAAAAAATTATAGTAGAATATAAAGTAACCCCTTCCGTGTTCCACTCCACACCACCACTGTTAGTTGGGTTTCTGTCCCTCCAACTATATAACCACAGAAATTTTTCTGTCATTACTTCAAAAAATTGGATAGTCCAATCAGACCAGCATTCTGAAATTTAATTTTCTTTAGTAGCTTTCAAATATTTATTTGTCAATAACTGAAAAATTCTCCCAGCTGGCGTAGTTCAGTGGATTGAGCACAGGCTGGGAACCAAAGTGTCCCAGGTTCGATTCCCAGCCAGGGTACATGCCTGGGTTGCAGGCCATAACCTCCAGCAACCACACATTGATGTTTCTCTCTCTCTCTCTCTCTCCCCCTCCCTTCCCTCTCTTAAAAAAAAAGAAAAAAAAAAAGAAATAAATAAAAATAATCTGAAAAATTCTTTCTTCTTTAAGTGTATCTACCAAAACAAGCCAGCCAATATCCCCAGAATGCTAGAATCTTCACGTGGTTTTTCCAGTTTCTCACTATTACAAATTGTGATGCTGTCAATACCTGTGTACATTATCTTTGCATGGGTGTGCAGACTGTTTATCCTGAGAGGGTTGCTGGCTCCAAGGGATATTCACTTTAAATTTGGTAAATATTGCAAAGAACTTTCCTCAATAGCCACAGTGTATTGATCATGCTCTTGCCAACAATGGGTAATAACGATGTAAGATCTTGAGCATTTGATTGTTGGAAATTTTATTTCTCATTGTAGTTTAATATTTAGGAATTATATAAACCAGTCTTGGAACATCTGATTGGAGAGTTTGAGAATTTTGCTTTAAAAGTAAAATAAAGTAGAAGGGGAATTGACTGCATTTGAAAAGGCTATAATATTTGGAGCTTTTAAAAGATGCCACTGCATTAGTCACCATCTATCCATTTATAGGATGGCTGGAGGTCCTGGTACATGGTAAGTGAGAATGTCTATGTTGCAAACATGTGACTACAGTGTGTCCGTTAGTCAGTGTTGTAATTTTGTGGCTCTTAACATATATGTTTTCCACCTTCATAAAAAAAGATTCAGTTCCCTGGGAATGAAAGCAGGGTTTTAAATGAGATGTCATAGCTTTAGGTCCTTAAGAAGCTGCAGATGCAAAACAAAACAAAACAAAACAAAACAAAACAAGAAAAAACCCTAAGTGTACAATGATGCCTCTGTGTAGAATCACTTCCAGGCACTATGGGTCTGAGCCATGAGAGTAACCAGGCTGCTCCCACATGGTCATCAGTTGCTAACTGGGTAGGGGTGCCCAACTGAGGAGGAAATAAAGATCTGAACCTTGATCAGACCCACAGGGCAATCCATGTCCCCCTGTGCTTGGCTGGGTATTCTCTGAAGGGGGAGGCACTTTTTTAGGTTGCAATATGTCTGTAAGGGCCACAGCACCTGGCTCCTGATGTATCAGGATCTATAGGTATACACATTCAGATACTTACCTAAGTACCTTTGGAACTTAACACTGTCTTGCCCATTCATTATGGGTACACCTTAAAGAAGATATCAGGCTTACTTACTGCATGTCTTTCCTACCTTGTATTTAATACAGGGTGATGCAATATGCTGTCCACATGGGAGGCTTAACTCAGGGCCTCTGATGATTTGTTGCTGTGAAAACCTTTGGTTTTATCAAGACGTTTTTCTGGAAAATGCATAAGGAGTTCATCTGTGTATGTGCATGTGTGTGTGTATCTTAACATTTGGGAAAATGAAGGTCTCTGAGGATGGCCAACTCATGCCATATAAAATCCAAGAGAGACATCTTTCCTGTCATATAGGGAGGTTTATATTCCTGCCAAGCTATTTACTAAAAGGGGGCAGAGATTAGGGGACTTGGGCAAGTTAACCTTTTTGAGGCCCAATTCCCTCATTTTTTAAAATATATGTGGTTATTATACCTATCTCATACACATGGTATGATGACTAAATATGTTAATACATGAAGACACTTAGAACAATGCCTGACATTTATTGAATACCTGATATGTATTCTGTGTTGTTGTTATACTTGTGATAGAATAAGTAAAGCACCTTAAATACTGCTCAATTTATAGTAAGTTCTTAATGTGTCACCTGTTTTTATTGACCCTTTCCCTAGAGAAATTTTATTTACATACACCAACAAACTGTATAAGACTTCATGTGTTTATGGGTCCTTAGAAACCTGGCCAAGGCCTCTAATAGGCCTTGGTGAAACAATAATGAATAAGATAGACATAGTCCCTGATTTCATGGAGCTTTTAGCTAGGCGATGTATACAAGGATTGCCCTCCATATATTTCAATGGTCAGAACAAGGGTTTTGCAGTCATTGAAACCTCTGTGCAAATCTCAACTCTGCCTTCTGACAGCTGTGTGTCCCAAGCAAGTTACTTAATGTCTACCTTAGTTTAAAAGATAGTAAATGAGAATAATACTCCTTACTCTAAAAGTACATGTGGAATAATTCTAGTATTATTTAAGCCAAACATGTTATTTATTGAGTGTTTGATGCATTCTCTGCACTCTATTTTAATATAGACGAATCACATTTATCTGTGATAGCAAAGTATCATGGACATCTAAGCATTGTGTTCCGATCACTTGAAAGTGTTGATTGATAATATCACTAGACCTGGTAATTTAGTTATTTTTAATATTTTGAATCTTTGAGTGTTGTTCTCCTATGATTGCATATTGAGTTTGCTTTGCTTATGTTCTTGACTTTCTTGTGTCATGGCTAGAAATTACAAATAATTGATGTATATTAGGTTAACAGGAATGAACTTATATGCACTGTGCTAGGTGCCTGGAATACAAATGCAAAAATGCAGCATCCTCCCCTTAAACACAAATAATTTACTTGGAAAACACATATTGCCTTCTACATCATAAGGTGATAACTATTGCATTAGTATATAGATAGAAATACCATGGGAAATGGAAGCACAAACGATAGTTTAAAAAGCCTGGAGAGATTTCATGGAGCAGTTAATGACTTCCAGATTAGAACTTGCTGCATAGAGAAGAATCAGAAAAATGCTTGGGGCAGAGGATATTACGTGTGGAATACGTGGAATAACAAGAGATGAAGTGGGGAAGAAATACTTGGCTAGATTCTGATGTTCGTGAATGTGGTTGACAAAGATTTGGGCTATGACATTTGGGCAATGGAGAACCATCAAAAATCTGTAGTAGATTAGGTTATGAAAGCTGTCTCTCTCTTTTTTTTTTGTTCAGATTAATTGGCAGCATTTTGGAGGATGGATTAAACATGGAGAGACAAGAGGCAGGGGAATAGTAGGGAGCTTTCACAATAATCTAGTCACAATAAAAATGTGAAGAGCATAGAATAGATTCTAGAGATGGTTTAAAGGTCTTTAAACTGAATT